ACAATGGAAAAAAAAGAAAGCATCTTCAACAAATGGTACTGGCATAACTGGATAATTGTATGTAGAAGAATGCAAATAGATCCATAGCTATAGTCCTGCACAAAACTCAAGTCCAAGTGGATTGAAGACCTCAACATAAATTCAGTTACACTGAAGCTGATAGAAGAGAAAGTGGGAAGTAGCCTTGAATGTGTTGGCACAGGAGTCCACTTCCTGAATATAACACCAGCAGCACAGTCACTGTGATCAACAGTTAATGAATGGGACCCCCTAAAACTGAAAAACTTCTGTAAGGCAAAGGACACTATCAATAAAACAAAATGGCAGCTTACAAAATGGGAAAGTATTTTCACCACCCCCTCATCTGACAGAGAACTGATAATACACACACACACATATGTATGTATATATACTACATAAAAAGAATATACATATATTTTTATAAAATACATAAAGAATTCAAGAAACTAGACATCAAAATAACAAATAATCCCCTTAAAAAGGGGGTACAAACTTAAACAGAGACTTATCAACAGAAGAATCTTTAATGGCTTAGATACACATTAAGCATTGTTCGACATCCTTAGTCATCAGGGAAATGCAAATCAAAAATAACTGAGATACAATCTTACACTTGTTAGAATGGCTGAGATCAAAACACTATTGACAGCCTATGTTGGAGAGGATGTGCAGTAAGGGGAACACTCCTCCATTATTGGTGGGAGTGCAAACTTGTACAGTCACTTTGGAAATCAGTATGGTGGTTTTTGAGAAAAATTGGGAATCAATCTACCTCAAGACCCAGCATTACCACTCTTTGGCATATAGCCAAAGAATGCTCAATCATATCACAAGGACACTTGCTCAACTATGTCCACAGAAGCATTATTCATAATATCCACAACCTGGAAACAACCTAGATGCCCTTCAAACAAAGAATGGATAAAGAGAATGTGATACATGTATACAATGGAATGTTACTCAGCAGAAAAAACAAAGCATTATGAAATTTGCAGGCAAAAAGATGGAAATAGAAAAAAATCATCCTGAGTGAGGTAACCCAGAAAGATAAACACGACATGTACTTACTCATAAATGGATATTAGATGTAAAGCAAAGGATAACCAGGCTACAATCCTCAGCCCCAGAGAAGCTAGGTAATAACGAGGACCCTAAGAGAAACACTTGGATCTCCCCCTGGGGAGAGGAAATTGATGAGATGTCCTGGATGAATTGGGGGTGGGGCAGGGATAAAGGGTTTGGGGGATGGGAATATGAGGGATCAGGTTGGTCCAGTTGGGGCTGGGATGGAGGGGGAGAGTAATGAACAAGATATCTTGATAGAGGGGGCCACTATGGGCTTAGAGAGAAACATGGTGTTAGAGAAACTTTCAGGACTAAGACTCCTAGCAATAGTGTAGAGGGTGCCTCAACTGGCCTTCTCCTGGAATCAGATTAGTGACTACCCTAATTGTCTTTACAGAGTCTTGGTCCAGTAACTGATGGAAGCAGATGCAGAGATCCACAATCAAGCCCTGTGCCAAACTCTGGGAGTCCAGTTGAAGAGAGGGAGGAGGAATCATATGAGCAAGGGAAGGGGTCAAGATCATGATGGGGAAACCCAAAGGGGCAGCTGACCTGAGTTTGTAGGAGCTCATGGACTCTGGACCGATAGCTAAAGAGTTGGCATGGGACCACCTAGGTTCTCTGCATGTGAGTGACAGTTGTGTAGCTTGGTCTTTTTGGGGGCACCTAGTTTGACCAGGAGTTGTCCCTGACACATGAATTAGTTCTTTGAAATCTATTCCCTATTGTACCCAGCCTTGATGCAAGGAGGAGGAGCTTGGCACTGCCTCAACTTGATATGCTATGCTGTATTGACTCCCATGGAATACCTTACCCCTTCTGAATGGAGATGAAGGAGGAGTGAATGGGGGGAGGGTAGAAAAGGAGTGGGAAGAGGGAAGGGAGAAGAAAAAGGAGGGGAAAGTGTGTTGGTATGTAAAATAAAGAAGGATTAGCTGTATGCAAGCCTATAGCGTATTTTCTTAGTGTTTGATGGGGGAGGGACCATCATTGTGGGTGGTGCCTTTCCTGGGCTGGTTATCCTGAGTTCTATAAGAAAGCAGGTTGAGCAAGCCAGTAAGCAGCACCCTTCGATGGCTTCTGCATCAGCTGCCTCCAGGTTCGTGCCCATCTTGAGTTTCTGTACTGACTTCCTTTAATCATGATCAGTGATATGGAAGCCAAAGAAATCTTTTCTTCTCCAACTTGCTTTTTGATCATCGTGTTTTCAGCATAGCAATAGAAACCCTAGCTAAGACAATCACATTCTACCAGTAAAAGGAGCTTTTCTGATGAGGGTTGAGAGGGCATGAAGATGAGAACTTAGGGAGCAGTTTAATAATATGACCATTTAGTATAATGAGTTTTTGACCCAATTAATGGTACTAGGCATAAGTTTCATCTTGTAGAGTGGGTTTTAAATCCAAGCAGAAAGTGTTTATTTACTCTGTAACATTTGTGCCTCTATTGCACCAGTAGGCATAGCTTGCCAGGCCAGTCATTATGATGACTTGCAGGACTCGTAACTGAGTAAGACTATTGATTACTCTTCTCCCCTGGAAGAGGGCATAGAACCTTCTAGTACCAAGAAAACTAGTCAGGATGGAGGAAGCTTTTAGGTTAGCCAACAATAGCTCTTTGATATAGCAATTAAAAACTGTCACATAGTTGTCAAATCATTATCAGTTGTTTCACATCAACTTGTTAGGATGGCTATCATTAAAAAGACTAGAGACAAATTTGATGCAGCTGTCTTTGAGTCCTTTCTACTCCTATGAGAAAGCCCTCACTTATATTTCTGCAAGTAACCCTAATAAAACTTATTGGTTTACCAAGTTTGTCTTTGGGGGTGTTTTTACTTTTTCTGCTTTTGGTTTCCTAGCTGGAACGAATATATAGTTTTGTTCATTTCTCCCTGGAATAGTGTCACACAATACAAATGTTGCAAGGGGTGAGGGGGGCCCTTTGTTTGTCCTGGCCACCCGGCTAGCTTACACCTGAAATAATCACACAGAAACTGTATTCATTAAAACATTGCTTGGCCCATTAGCTCTAGTTTCTTATTGGCTAATTCTTACATCTTAATTTAACCCATTTCTATTAATCTGTGTATTGCCACGTGACTGTGGCTTACTGGCAAGATTCTAACCAGCATCCATCTCAGGCAGAAGATCCATGGCTTCTCACACTCTGCTCTTCTTCCAAGCATCCAGTTCTGTCTTCTCTGCTTACCTAAGTTCTGCCCTATCAGGCCCAAAGCAGTTTCTTTATTCATTAGCCAATGAAAGCAACACATGAACAGAAAAACCTCCTACGCCACACAAGAGCAGTGGGCCAGAGGTTGATGGGGTTGTCTGAGGTATCCTGACTAAAACGGCATCAGAGAGGCTGGCTTACCTCACAAAGGGATGCAGGTATGACCACCTGGTAGGAGAGTGGAGTCATAGGCCAGAAGCACCTGGGACTTAAACTCCCACAGATGCCTGAGCTGGAATAGTGATGGAGAACAACCTGGGGCTAGAGGCCGTTTAATCTTCATCTTCACTGCAGACACAGGTACCAGTTATGGGGCAGAGCAGTTTCTTTAAGGCCCAAAGATCAGCAGCATGGCTGAGAGCTTGGTTTAGACATGGTACAGAAAAGAGTATCCAGGGTGGTCTTCGAGGGCCAGGAAAGTAATCCAGAGAACAGAGAACACAAAGACTCACTGAACAGTTAGCTCTGATTCACCTGTAACACATCAATAAAGAAACACAGTTGTCCACTTGAGAGAGCCTGCTGCATGAGTAGATGAACATTACCTGTGGAGAGGATGCACGGGGCCAGAATGATGTGTCAGAGAGTGAGTGGATTAAAACCTCAGAAGTACCCTGGTTATATGTGTCATGCTCACACTCAGTGCGAGATGCATGTCTCTTAGTTCTACCATCATTTTTTTTTTATTTAAAAGATTTTTTTTAACATACTAACCACAGTTGCCCCTCTCTCCCCTCCTTCCATTCCCCCCTCCTCTCCACTCCATCCCCATCTGCTCCTCAGAATAAGACCTCCCATGGGGAGTCAACAAAGTCTGTCTGCCCGCACATTCTATGCACCACCTAAGTGTAGCCTTTCCACTTCTCAAGAATCTTGCAGTGTCTCTTAAGCTGTTTGCTACTGTCTATACTGTACACGCCTTAACCAGTTTGCCCAGAGCTTAGATATTTCAACTCAATTTATCTTCTCTGGTAAGATGGGATAACCTCCAAAGCACATATGTATTCCAGGTCGTGACTTAACATGCGAATGTCTCCTAGATTGAGGTAGGTTAACAGGGTGGGACCAGCAGTAGTTAGTCTGGAAGCCTCCATCAAGCAGCCTTAGGCATTTTCTTGGCTTCTTACTAAGCTCATTTTCCTTCCTCGTAAAGGGGCCACTCAGCATTCAACCCCCATGGAAGATGGCAACGAGTGAGTGATAAGAGACACAGGGCCTAACAAGTCTCAGGATAGCAAGAAGGTCTGAGTTCTAATTAGCTGCCCAGCCAATGGGGGAAGTTCTGGGGACACAGCCTTTAAGGCCTGTATAGAATCTCAGGCAATGAGTCCTGTCTTTTTTGTTACCAAAGGGCCCACCAAGAGTTAACTTCTACATGGCTGAAAAGGACTTGCTACAGTATATATCTTTCTCTCACCATCACTCAGGAATACCAGGGTTCTAATGATAGAAATATGGGGTGGGGGGTGGGGGGTGGGAATCAAATATGTATTTCTCGTTATAGTACAGTATCGTAATGATGTTAAAAGAAATCCCTTCCTTTTAACCCACAGCAGTGTCAGGAGTTGAGGTGAAAGGATTATTTGACCTGCGGAGGCAGCAGGGCCTTACTGACTACATCCACACCAGCTCTAGAAAGAAGAAAAGAATTTGGCATGTGTCTCCTTAAATGAGATACCATGGCCAGATTATTACAGGCCCTGCTGCTCCTGGTGATCACAGTGGGCCTTGTGTCTAGGAGGGTCCAAGCCTGGGGCTCACCGAAGATTGTGAGGCCATTTGAAGACATCCCCGAAACCTATGTCTATGTGCAGCAAGCACTCTGGTATGCCATGAAAGAGTATAACAAGGCCAGCAAGGACCTGTACAATTTCAAGGTGGTGAACATCCTAAAATCTCAGGAGCAGGTAGGTGCAGTGTCTGCTCCTAATTCCTTTTCCCTTGGTCTTTTTTTGGGGGGGACAAAGATTAGTGTCAGGGATAGCTACTACATAGGAATGGAAACAAGGCCAAAAGATGTCTCTATGGTTAGTTCTCACTGGAGAATACTCTTTTTAATTTCCTTGTTTCCTTCTCAGGATCCTTGCTATTTAAAAGAAAAAACCCAGGGGCTAAGAAGGGGGCTTGGTAAAGTGAGGACCTGAATTTGATCTCCAGCATCTATTTAAATGTTGGACATGACAGTGCATGGCTCTTGGGGCAGTTGGCAGAGATAAGCAGACCCCTGAATCTTTTTTGTCATCTAGCTTAGCAAAATCAATGAGCTCCAGGTTCAGTGAAAGTGATCCAAAAAGACATCAACCTGTGGCCTCTTGGTGCATGCAGGCACCCATATGCACGAATATACCTACCCACATGGATACATACATATACCATATACATGTATACACACAATAACAAAATAATGTCAGCCAGGTGGTGGTGGCACATTCTTTTCATCCCAGCACTTGGAAGGCAGAGGCAGGCAAATTTCTGTGAGTTTTGAGGTCAGCCTGGTCTACAAGAGCTAGTTCCAGGAAAAGCTCCAAAGCTACAGAGAAACCCCCCAAAAAAACAAACCCCCCCAAAAACAAAAAAGGTCAATAAACAAATATAAAACAATTGTGAGAGGGAAATGAGAAAGATGTCAAGATAAGAATTCCCTCAAATAATCTCAAAACTTCTGCCAGGAGATATGGAGTCAAAGAAGAGCAAGAAAAATAGTCTAGCCCTAAGAAGCCAATGGCATATTGGCTTACCAGAGAGAGGGGTTACTTGGTGCTGGTTTCTTCTATGACATTTAACTTGTATGACTCATTGACAGATTACAGACAGTCTGGAGTACTATCTTGAAGTAAACATTGCCCGGACAATGTGCAAGAAAAGTGTTGGAGAAAATGAAAACTGCTTGCTTCAACAAAATCCTAAAATGAAAAAGGTATGTAAGTGACATGAGAAAAATGGCCCCTGTCTTACCTCTGTAAAAAGAACACTGTCAGGCCAGGTCTAACACATTTGCTAGTTTCTTATTTAAACTCTGTGCTGTTTGAGACTGTAGTAGCCAGACTTCAGACCTGAGATGTTTCTATTATCTATCATTGACACCATCCTACTCCATTCTACAAGACATATACATACACATATACATGCTCAAACAACCAGGAAGACACACAAATACATACAAGCACACATAGAGGGGGACATGTATATTACACATGAAAGTAGGCTTAAAGCAAAGCCAGTTCATTATTTCATGCTATTGTGAATTCTGGATAGAGTTCTTCTGAACAATCACTTTGCTCCTATGGTGTATACTGGCAGGAATATTCCAGAATGGTGGGTCACTCACTATCATAGGTGCAGTGCCTCACAGAGGATGGCTGATAAAGCTGGAGCTACTCAAGCTTCATTCCTTCTGTTTGAGGCTTCTCTGGTACAAAGTCATAGAGGGAAAATAGTTTTATTATTACTAAAAATAATATTTTATCATCATCATCATTACCATTATCAATAGTAGCAGCAGCAGCAGCAGCAGCAGGAGCAGCAGCAGCAGCAGCAGCAGCAGCAGTAGTGGTAGATGTATATATGCTTGTTCCTGTGCAAGCGCATGCCAGAGGCTGATGATGGCTATCTTCCTCTCTTGCTCTTCATGTTACTTTTGGAGACACAGTCTTTTACTGAGGATGGAACTTGCCATTTGGGGTAGGTGGGCTGTCTAGGAAGCCTGTGGGATCTGCCTGTCTCTGTTCCTCACAGCGCTGACGTTACAGATGTGTGATGTTGTCCCCAGCTTTTACATGATGCCGGAGTCTGAATTCAGGTCTTCGTGCTTGTGCAGCATTCTTTACCCACTGACCTATCTCTGCAGCCCTACCTTCTTAAAGAAGAGATAAGCAGACCCTGCTAGCAGTCCTGGATAGTGGTCATCTTGCTAGATACCCTTCCCCAAGTGCCATGTACAAGGAGGAGCTGAGCCAGTGAACAGGGTGGCATGACCACTTCACTGAAACCCTGGAAGCAGGGAGTGTCAGGAAGAAATCTTCTTGTCTGATTCTATTAGGCCTGCTGTTGCATGGAAGCCATGGGAGGCTGTGGGGCTTCTGAATGGCTCTAGATGTCCAACATAGAATCCCATGTACTGTCTTTTGATCTTTGGTGTTAGAGTTGAGGCTCATCACAGCTGTGCTCTAGTGTTACCAGACCTTGTGCCCTGATGGGTACACAGGGGCCAGTCTATCACAATGGGATGAATATTAATGCCAGATAAACAGACATTTTATATCTCAGTTTGTGCTGTATAAGTGAATTAGGTTGTATATGTGTACATAAATGTATTCTAAAACTTCATGAAATTGTACTAGAGATAAAAATGGTAGTGTGGGTCCTTCTGGGACTCTTTTTTAAAAATATTTATTTATTTACTTGTTATGTATACAGTGTTCTGTCTGCCTGTATGCCTGCAGGCCAGAAGAGGGCACCAGACCTCATTACAGATGGTTGTGAGCCACCATGTGGTTGCCGGGAATTGAACTCAGGACCTTTGGAAGAGCAGGCAATGCTGTTAACCGCTGAGCCATCTCTCCAGCCCCATGGGACTCTTGATAATTGTCCAGTTTCTCACTTCCAGGAGTGACTTTGGGCCCCATCTAGGTCAAGATAACCTTCATAGAGATTCCTATATATTGAAGCTTTTATTCTCTCTGCTTTTTAAATTGTTATGCATGATGCGTATTTTGATGCAATTTCTTGATCATCTTTGCTTAAGGATATTATTCACGTATCATTCACTTTTGGTGCCATAGAGGTATTTCAACTTTTTATTTTTATTCTAAGTTAACGTGGATTTTTAGGAGAGAGACTAGAAACACAAGGGTGCTCATTGCCTATCATGAGCGGGAGCTGCCCTTCTGAGACCGGGTCACACATCTCTCTGAGGTTCTCCACATGAAGGATGTTTTTGCTTGGTGTCTGGACAGATTTTCTACGTTCTCTGAGAAGCACATGGCTCTGTGCTGTTCTAGTTTCATTGATTCCACAAAATAGGATCCACTGGGATCTAGGCACAGCAGAGGGCCTCTGTTGATCACAGGAAAATGGGTTGTAACTGGAGGCAGACTTGAAAGGTCAAACATTTCCTGTGTTCAGAATCTTAACGCAGGATCTGTCTTAAGGATCAAGATTGACCATCCACACTGTGCAATGGGTATGCTCAACTCATTCTCTTAGTCTTCTTAAGTTAAATCCTGGGACCTGGAAAAAGGGACTTGTGTCGTTTCCCTTTTTTTCATACTAACACACACTCTGTCCCCCTCCCCATCTCTCTCTAGGGGTATATAACTCTGTGTGTTTTTATGTATATGTACATGTACATCTGGACCATTCTCTACTTTATTTGGGGGCATAAGTTCTCTCATTGAGCTCATTGATTGGTAGACTGGTTGGCTACTGGGATCTGCCTGTCTCTGCTCACCTTGTGTGTGAAACTATGACGGAATTTTTCACATGGGTGCTCGGGATCTAAATTCAGGTACTGTACTAGGCCTTCTCCATAGCTCCCTAATTAATTATATTCTTGTCTTTTTTAGATGGTGTTTTGCATTTTTATTGTTAGATCCAAACCATGGAAATTTGAACTTAAAATGCTGAAGAAACAATGCAAAGATATCTAATCAGCATCCAGTATACCTTGCCACTCTCACTTTTAAATAAAGATGCTTGCAAGATAAAGGACCACCACAGCTGACCCACTGACTTCATTAATTGTGTGTGTGTGTGTGTGTGTGTGTGTGTGTGTGTGTGGTTTGGATTTGACACTGAGAAAGAGTGATGCTATTTTCTGAGGTTTTGCAGCCTTCTCTAGGTGGTGTCTTTATCTCTGAGGAAAGACAATCTGCTTCTAATAGATGGATGCGATTTCTAACCTAACCAAGTCCCAAACATAAATACTTTCCAATGTTCACAGTTGCTCCATGGGGTCCCTTCTTCACTCATTGAAGTTCACACAAGTGCATGGAATTAGCAGAACACTAGCAAAGTGCCTATCAGTTGCGTCACCATCTTTGAAGTCATTCATTTTCCCATTTCACTTTCAGATCATTCCAGAGAAAATCAGTTCCCACTTGGCTCATGCATGACAGGCTAAGGAATCCTCTAGAGAAGGCTTTTTTTTTCCATAATCTTAAGTAAGGGTTTGGGCAGATGGAGAAAGACAGTTGTGGTCTTGTATCAGAGCTCCCTTAGCCTCCAAGTTCTGTTTGGTTCTGCTTGGCTCAAGACGCAATCTGGCAAAATTCACAAAGAATTCTCCAATGATTTTCTGGTTGAGTGGTATATTCCCTGCCTATAAACAAATAAGGGGAGGGCGGATTTGTTGGGGTCAACCAGAACACCAGTTACACTTCATAGCACAGCTGGACTGTAGTTCATTTGCAGAGATGGCTGGTCGGGACCTACAAGTCCAGATAATCTATGTTGCCTTCATAGTCGTTCTGGAGCTTAGGGAGGAGATCAAGGTGACACAAGGCTCACAGAGAGCAGCAACTTCTGGCATTGTCTTCTGTGTGTGGTGGGTGAGGTTGCCACCCAGAGACCTGGTATAGGGTCAGATAGCAGGTATAATTGCCTGTGCCTCTTTTGATGAAAGGTTAAACGTAATGGCACTCTTTCTGATCCCTGACTGTGTAGTGATTGGGAACAGGGTGTAGGACTCTAGGAAAGGAAGTTTTATAGAATTAGCCTCCCTGCCCTGAGAGCAGACTGTCTCTACTGCTCCTTGTGGCTTCTCTGTGGTCTTTCCCCCTTCTCACTGCTGTGTACATATTTCTATCTGGTCTTCCCTATGGGCAAGGTACACAGACCTTGGGATACCAGCTCTTGGAATGTTTGTTAGCAAGTCTTGGTTGATCCTAGAGAAAGGTGGGGTGATGTTCCTGCTGGCTCTTTCCGAATCTGAGATACATGCACCGATAAGATAGAGCATGGAGGGAGATTAGGGTTAATGTCCCTGTGCAGAGCCAGTCACTGGCCTTTGGCAGAGTCACTACTGTATCATCTAGAGTTCCCTATGGGGAAACTCAGGCAGTTGTGTTGTGGTGCTGCTCCCCTAGCTATGTGCATGGGGGCTGTGGAAATGGTGCTGGAAGAAGAAAGAGCTTTGACCTTCACTGAGGGAAATTATACAGACCCGAACACAGTTCAGTGCGTTACTTGGTTCTGCATAGGAATGACCTTGGTCCCAGAAAATGGAGTCCAATACTCTTAGTTCACTTTTCATCAGATCCATTTACTTCTCCTGATCTCTGCCACACTGTGCCGTCTCCATCAGGAGGGACACTGTATTGGGTCAGCCAAACCTAGTGCTTTCATTGTTGTATTTTCCATCTCAACTCTAATTTTTGACATAAATTCTTTTTTGCATATATGTAGTGTGGTATATAGTGTATGCATATGTAAGTATTGTCATGTGAGTATACATGCATGCATGTGTGTGTGAGTGTGCGCACGCACGTGCGTGTGTGTAAGCCAAAGGTTGATATGGGTTATCTTCTTCTTCTATCCATCTCCACTTTATCTTTTGAGATAAGGTCTCTCACTGAACCCAGAGCTCAATGATTTGACAAAACTTTGCTGGTCAGTGAGCTCCAGAAATCCTCTTGTTTCTGTCTCCTCAGGGCTAGGATCACAAGCATGTGTCACCATATTGAGCTGTGGATACAAACTTGGATCCTTGTCTCTGCAAGACAAGTAGCTTACCAATTGAGCCATCTCCTCAGGCTCTTAATGCCCATTCTTATAAAAAATAAATGGCCTATTTTTAAAGATGAGTTATTTTTAGGGAATTTAACCAACTAATGGCACATACACACTGGCAAAATGTCTCATTCTGACCTTGTTCAAAAGATCATCTGGTCCGTAACCATAAGGATCATGGGACCAAGGAGGAATCTTATTTCATGTCATTAGGACTAAAATACATATCCACCCCAGGGGAGTACCATTAAAATATCCCTTTACACTTGCCCTAGGTGTTGTTCTAAGTCTTGGATCTATCTGTACCGTTGACTGGAGAAGAGCAACATATAGAAAGAGCTGTGGACCTGAAAAGGGCAGTTCCAGGTCGGGGGGAACTCTTAGCAAGGGGAGATGAGTGAACTCTCTAGGCTGCAAGCTTTTCGCTGATTTGAAAAGTCACTCTGAAGACTATGAGGCTGTGCAATATATTGTTGGTTTTCACAGGCTTTGTTAGGAAATACATCTGACTGAAGCCACCCAAGAACTGAAAACTATTATCTAGAGAATGTCTCCCCTTTTCCTGTCTCCCAGGGAAAGTTGCTTCTATCTTCCCCACCCACCCTGGAAGAGTAGCTTTTCATTATCTATGTCCTAGAAACGTAGCCCTTTGCTATCTTCCCCCTTCTCTCCTGAAAAGAAGCCTTTTCTGTCCTAACAATGATCCACAGAATCAACCATTCGTGGGAAAGGAACTAAAAGATGTGAGTCCCTGGGACTTTCTAATCAGCATTTTTTTTTCCTTCAGATTCACAGAACTCAGAACGTCCTACAGATAGCAACAGCTCTGCCTTAGTATCAGAAGAGTAGACTCCAGAAGTTTCTAACCACTCTGCTGCCAGCCAACCTATCTGGCATGCATTTTAGACTCCATGCATGTTTGCTTATTTGTTTATTGGGTATGTGTGTGTGATCAGGCACACTTGGGTATGCCTCTAATGATAAGTTGGGGGAGTCTGTTTGTTCTTCCACCATATGGGTTCTCAGGCTCAAACCTCAGGCTTGACAGCAAGTGCTTTTACCTGCTGAGCCACCTTTCCAGTTTTCTTTTTTCTTTCTTTTTTTTCTTTTGGTTTCTCGAGACAGGGTTTCTCTGTGGTTTTGGAGCCTGTCCTGGAACTAGCTCTTGTAGACCAGGCTGGTCTCGAACTCACAGAGATCCGCCTGCCTCTGCCTCCCGAGTGCTGGGATTAAAGGCGTGCGCCACCACCGCTCAGCTTACCTTGCCAGTTTTCTATGCAAGTCTTATACCTACAACATCCAGGCAAGTGGTCTTTGTTGGTCACAGGCTACATCTTTTCAGTTTGTCAACTCTCTAAAAAGTCTTTCTCCTTGCCCTAACAATTTGTTCAGGCTGGCCAGGGCACACGCTCAGTCTAAGCTTCAGAACTTGGAGCTCTGTCTTTCGTGTATATTCCCTAATATAGGCAACAAGCCTGGAAATTTTTGCCAGTTTTGATTATTTACTTCTCTTATCATAGAAAGAGTGTATCTTCTGAGATGTTGGTGAAGAAGGAGCATGGTTCTTTTTCTGAACAAGGTAACACCTCTTTCTTCTGGGTAAAGAAAGAGACATGAGTCAAGATGTTCCCAGGTATGCCTTCTATGGAGACCAACATACATGAAGGAACTGCATGTCACAGATCCCCAGAAATGCAGCTAACATGAATAACTGAGGTACTATGATATATCAGAGACTACAAAGACCATATCTGGATGGTCTGAGACAGGGTTAAGCACACTACCTTTTTTGTTCATTTGTTTTTGTTTTCGAGACAGGGTTTCTCCTCTGTAGCTTTGGAGCCTGTCCTAGAACTAGCTCTTGTAGACGAAGCTGGCCTCAAACTCATTGAGATCCTCCTGCCTCTGCCTCCTGAGTGCTGGGATTAAAGGTGTGCACCACCACCGCCCAGCTAAGCACACTACTTATGGAAGAAAAATATGAAAAGATAAACTGTTTTTGTGTTTGGGGGGCATGGGCTCTCTGTCCAACAACTCAGTGCTACTCCTGTGTCTTAAGAACAGCTATGAGCAATGCATAAACGAAGGAGGGCAATCCAGGATCAATAAACCACATTTACACAGCAGATGGTGGCCGGGAAATAGCTCTTGGGACATAGTTGACAATCTATCATTAAAAGACAAGGGTGGGAACCATGTGCAACCATTGGGAAGCAGGGAGAAAATGGTCCCCACATCCAGGAAGGAGACAGGCAAAGGTTGTGTGTGGCCATAGCTTAGGGTTACTCATAGGGTTACTCAACATAAAGGGGTGTGGAGGCAACAAGGTTTATATTAACAACAACGTGTTACCAAGGCACACGAGAGTCCACTAGTGGAGACCATTGCTGAGAATACTGCAAGGATGAGAAGGGAAAAAAATCAGAGGCCAGAACAAAGCTCAAGGGACAGAAAGCAAAGTGACAGAGAAAAAAAACCCCTAATGTTCTATCTATCTATCTACTATCTATCTATCTATCTATCTATCTATCTATCTATCTATCCAGCTATCTCTATGTCTGTAATCCCATAACCTCAGAAAGAGACACAGAAGGATTATGAGTTCATGACTTGTCTAGGCTGTATACTGATACCCTATTCTCAAAACAAACAAACAAAACAAACATAACAATAAAATCAAAAGAATAGAGAAAGAAGTCACCATAGTCCTACATGCATCTACCAATGAGTTAGAAATATAAAATAAAACCCATATATATATGCATATATATATTTAAAGAACTGAAACATGGTGATGGTTAAAAATTTTGCTTTTCAAAAGATGTGATCAAGTGCCACAACTATAGTAAAGGAAGTTTATTTCATTGCCTTTTCACTAGGGACATTTGGAAGATGTGTGGTCAGCAATAAAAGTGTGTGT